ACGCAACATGGAAACATCGGGCTTCTTCCCATGCCATGCTTTAAATGGGGTGATACCTGAGGGAAGAGCGATGGTTGGGCGACGATTCTTGAGGTGGACGGCGTGGTTCACAGCTTCTCCCCACCATGCATCGTCTAGCTTCATGTGCAAGAGAAGAGATCTTGCAATTTCCTGCAAAGTGCGGTTGAACCTTTCGGCGATGCCGTTCTGCTGAGGGGTGTAGGGGCATGAAAACTCTTGTGCAATGCCAATGGATGAGAGGTGATTGCGAAATGACTTACTAATGTATTCTCCCCCTCTGTCCGAGTGCAGAGTCTTGACTTGAAGGCCGGTTGTGTTCTTGATGTGTTCATGCCACACTTTGAATGCTTCGGGAACAAGGTCTTTGGACTCAAGAAGGAAGACCCATGCAAAACGTGTCTTATTATCGATGAGGGTCATGATGAATCGCTTGCCCGTGCGACTGAGCGTGCGAGCAGGACCAATGATGTCACTATGAACAAGGTCAAGAGGACTTGATACTTGAACATTGACAGGGGGATGAGGATGATGCACGTGCTTGGCTTCGACGCATGAAGGGCATGGAGAAAGTGAGGAGGAAGACTCGGAGCTTGGTGTGATGCGAAGACCTTCAAGACTTGCATGTGCGGTGATGGACTTTGAGGTTGATGCTCCAGGGTGACCCAAGCGACAATGCCAAATGTAGGGTATGGTAGCCGTACCTGGGTGAGGCTTTATAGTAGTTGATGCGGCGGCGGTGTAGCCATGGAGTCGACGATACTCCGGGTTCACGTCGAGCTTGAGGCGGTAGAGGCGACCAAATCGCTCGCCACGTGCAATGAGGAGTCCCTGGTAGCGTATCTGCACGGTACCACTTTCGAAGGAAAAGATGCAGTCTTTCTCCTCGAGTTGTCCAACCGACAATAGGTTGGCTCTAAGGTTGGGAATGAGGAGGACACCTGAGATGGAAACCGGCTTGCCGGTGGGGTTGAGAAAGGTGAGAATTCCTTCTCCCGCGGTGGGAGTTGACTCCTTGTTGGCGACGGTGACGGACTTAACTCCTGTGGTGGTGAGAGAATGTAAGAGGGAGAAGTTGGGAGTCATGTGTTGGTCGCACCCACTATCGAGGCACCAAAATTCGGGGTCGAACGACGATGTGGGCGCGGATGAGGTCATGGCAAAGCTTATGCCCTGTGGGGTGCTTTGGGAAGAAGAAGTGGGTGTAGAGTTGGAGGGAGAGACATGGGGTGCTTGAGGTAACGAAGGCGTAAAGCCTTGTGGTGGAGAAGGGTAAAACAAGGGCATTGGTTGCATGGGGTAATAGGGAAAGGGGTAGGATTGACTTGGGTAGAATTGGGATGATTGAGGTTGAGGTAAGGGGGATTGATAGGGCTCATTATGAGAGCTTACTGCATATGATAGGGCGGCTCGGCCCTTGGCGGTAAGAAGATGAGGAGGAGGGGTCCAATTGGGAGGTTTACGAGGGCACTTAAACCATGGATGTCCCCATTGATGACAAAAATGACAAGTGAAGTTGAACTTCCCGGATTGGGGCTTAGCGGGTTGAGAGGGATTAGATGAGAAGGGTTGATTGGATGAGGAGCTTGATGACGGGTAGCAACCAAGAAGAGATGGGTTAGAGGACTTACTTGCTTGTCGTTGGTTCTTGCCTTTGTTGTTATTGTTGTTGTAGTAGTTGTTGTTGTTGTTGTTGCCGTGACCTTGAGTAGAGACGGCGGCCGACCATGCGGGTTTGTTGTTCTCCTCCTTTGCCTTGGCAAGCTCGCGCGTTTGATGTTCGTTGATGAGGGTGTTGAAGATGAAGTCTCGCGTCTTTTGCTTCTCGAGAAACGCTTGAATCGTGCTCCGCATTTGAATCCACTCCGGTGAGAGCCCCGCGAGGAGAATGGTGATGAAGAGCTCCTCGGGAACGGTGACTTCGATGACATCGGCATCGTTGAGTAGAATCTCCGCGCGCTCCAAGTACTCGGGAATCGTCTCCTTTTGCTCCATCCGTAGGTTGGAGATCTTGCCCCACATTTCCGCCTTGGTGCTCTCGGTGCGAGGTTGATGAAGCCTTGTGAGCCTCTCCCATGCGCGCTTTGCACTGTCGGGATGACTCGCGCACGTGAGCAATGACTTGGCGTATTGGTCTTGGACGGAGTTGAGGAGGTAGAGATAAGCTTCGGCGTTCTTCTTGATCCATGCGGTTTGCTCTGTGGGAGGGGCTTCGGAGGTAGGAGGAGAGAGAGAACCAGAGTAAACGGGCCACCACTCTAGGAGAGTGGAGGCCAATTGGAAGCGAATTCGCCACGCTTGGAAATCCTTTCCATTGAACCGTGGCACTTCTAGCTTGGGAGTTAAAGAAGAGGGGGTAGACATTTGGGTGTAAATAGGAGAGGGAAGAGTAGGAGATGATGAGGTGTCTTTTCCTCCTGTGTTGCCGCTTACTTCGGGGGAGCTTGATTCTCCTTGCGAAGTGGCACTCTTTGGCTTAGAGCCCTTGGGAGTGGGAGTCATGGAGAGAGGGTATAAAGCTCTTGTTAAGAGGACACTAGCGAAAGCGAGGAGGTAAGTAGCTCTGATACCAGTAGAGAATTGAGATAAAGACAAAAGAGTATGATTGCACACTAGAATAAGACAAGAGTGGACAGTGGAATTGTAGCATATGTAGATGAGCTTGATGGAAGAGAAGATGATGCTTAGAACTCGTGACTATAAAGAGAAACTTGTGTAAGATGAAATGCTTGATGAGAGAAGAACTTAGAAGATAAGAAGAGTGTGAGCTCGTTGAGAGAATAAGAGAGGTGATAAACAATTACTTGAGTGAATCTTACTAGGGATAGTTGTAGAAGTAACTTGAAAGAAGAACTTGAACTTGTATGGTTTACTTGGGAGTGACTTCAAACCTTGGGTTTGATGATGATCCTCCCTTGAGCTTGTAGTTTGTAGCTTCCTTATACTCTTAAGGAGTATGAGGTAGACTACTCTTCACTTGATAACTACTTTGTAGACTATGTGAGAGAGAGCTTTATGAGCATAAACTTATATTAAAGAGAGTATAGTACAAGCCTTATATATCCATGAAGGATACATAGGCATGCATAGAGAGAGTAGCCATCAATGGTAGCCTTGGAAGAGAGTAGCATGAGAGTATCAACTTTTGGAGACATTGAAACTTGGTTGCTAGTGAAGAGCCTTTGTAGTTGAAGAGGAGCTTGAAGAAGAAGCTTGGAAGGAGCTTGGAGGAAGCTTGAGAAGCATTGTTGTCAATGAAGAACCTTCTTGAGAAATTGTAGAGATGCTTGTTGGAGTTGAATAGTAGTAGAGCATGTGGTGATGGTTGAGCACTTGTTCAGTTGGAGTTGTAGGCCTTGTAGTGTTGGAAGAGAACTTGGGTGACTTCTGAAGGAATGAATAGAGGGGATAGGATAGATTTGGTGTCTTGGAAGAGAAGGTGATGTGGTAATCATGAATCCTTGAGAGATGAGTTGGCAACTTTGGTGACTTGGGAAAGGAAGGAAGGAAGGAATAAATGAGAGGCATGTGGATGTTGATGACTAGGAAGTGGAAACATGTGCTTGAAGACACATGGGAGGAGGATAATTGGAGGAAGTGGATGACTTGGGTATTATTTGATGAGTAGGAAGAGAAAGCACATGGAAAATCATGAGGAGTCATGTGCCTTATGGGTGGGGCTTGGAGGTGAATATGAATTTTGGTTGAAGTTGAGTTGGATTAGGAATGGCTATGGTGGTTGGGAGTAATTAAAGAGGTGGTTGATAGGCTTGACTTGGAGAGGATGAGTTGGAAAAGGAAGTTTGTATCTTGAATGGTTGGAATAGGCTTTGTAGGAGTTGAGTGGTTTGGATGGGTTCTTAGGAAAATGTGTCGAGGGTGTTTGGAGGGGAAGGGGTTGGAGTGGTACAGTAGCGTGGCACGTGAAGAGCGTGCCATTCACAACACATTGAAGAATGCATTGGAGTAACGCAAGAGCATACTACGCTTGAAAGCGGTTCTGGTCAACCTTGCTAGTACCGCTTTCTACCGTGTGTACTTGACAATCTCTGCACACACAGAACCTGAAATTCTCGCTCGCGACTCGTTTGCGAAGATTCATGGCGACTCGTGGAGGCTGAATATAGTCGCCCCTTGAAACCACATCGACACTACGCATAGTTCTGTAGGCACCTAGTTTATAGATTATAACTCGCGATTAATTAGCCTCTAAACGTTGGCTGCTAACCTGAGATCTACCGACTCTACGCCTAGATTAATTTCGAAGCCTCGAGTGAGCAACAAAAATCTCTGTACATTTTTTGTGCCATTTTTTATGTTCAATTCGCTCACATTGTATTCTTGACCTCAATGGGGCAATCATCGTCCATTTGTTCCATTACACTAATAACACTTGTGTATCTCTTTGTATGACGAATGACAGCCTTTAAAGGGGTCATTTATTGCTCCTCCCTCCAACTCCACACCTTCCTCGCACCCCCCTCCACCCCCACTTCCTGCTTCCTTCAAATGCCACGTGCCCAAGGCTCGCGTCGCGCGTTCCATTTCAAGGGGCAGCGCTGTTCCGCTCGCAGCCAAACCCGCCGCAAGCAACCCCCCGTTTGCACTCCGCCCCACCCCACCCCATCCCTCCCTTCCCTTCCCGAGCGCACCCTCCCCCCCACACCGCACCCACCCAACACGATTCTTGCCCCGCCCCACTTCCCGCCGTCTGAGGTTGTTGCGTAGTCTCAAGTCTTACATTTGCACTAGCCTTCCGAGGGAACACGAAGTCTTGCTACAAATTACTGTCTAGAAATTAGTAGTTGTGTTATTTCACAATCCGTTACGAATCTAGCTCGACAGTCAAGCCTCCAAATACAAAGGTTGGTTCTGCTGCCTTCCCGCGCCCTTACCACGCCGCAAAAGTTTTTTTCGTGGTTCGTCTATCGTTGTGATGAACAGTCCCGTCCCGTCACGCCCTCCGTCGCTACGCGCGCCCGATGTCCCACCGCCAACACTGTCCAACTTACCATTTCCTCTCTTTCCTCCCTTCCCCCACCCGCATCGCTTTTTCCGCGCGCGTCGGTCTCTCCGCGCGCAGCGCCATCCGCCGTGTTATGGGCAACAGTTCTAGCAGCCACCATCGCAAGCACCACTGCGACCAGCGCCGCCCCGACAACCGCTACGCCTCCCACTCCGGCCCTCTTCCCCGCCCCGCTCAGTCCGCGCCTGCCGGCCCCGCGTATTCCGGTCCTGCTTGTTCCGGCCCCGCGTATTCCGGTCCCGCCAGCCCCGGCGCCGCGTGCCAGCACCACAGCGACGGCGCCAGCAGCGGCGGCGGCGGCGAGTCGTACAGTCGCAGCAGCTCGTTTGGATACTCGCGCGCGCTGCAGCAGAAGTACGGCATCATCCCCGACACCTTCCGCTCCATCGCGCAGGTGCGTCCGTTGGGCAGGTGATATATGGGTCAGGTTGTTTCTGGACGATTTCTTGGGCGACTTGAATTCGCGCGCTGCAGCAGAAGCACGGGATCATCCCCGACACCTTCCCCTCGATCGCAGCGCAGTGCAAGTACGGCGTTGTCCCCAACACCTTTCGCTCCATCTCACACTACCGTTGGACAGGCGCGTTGCCTAAGAGTCGTGTCAGTGGCGCGTGCACAGGCTGAATGAGAATTCCCAAGAAACAATGCGTATGTACAGGCTGCATGCTCTTTGCCACGTGCTGTGCTTGACACCTTTTCCGTCCTCGTCATCCTAGCGTGACACGTGTACGTTCTTCATGTCCCGTCCCTTCCGTCTGCCTCTCGCTGTCGCTGCCTTCCGCGCCCAGGTGCGAGCGTTGAGGCTCAAGTCGCACTGTGCTTTGTCTCACACCACCCCGACTCGTGCATTCTCACCCTCGGTGTCTCACCCTACCTACCGTGTCCGCCTCTCTGTGCCTCCCCCCTCTCGCCCTCCGCCCCGCGCCTCTTGCCGACTGCAGGTGCAGGAGAAGCTGCGGGAGGTGGGGTTGGAGTCGAGCAACCTCATAGTGGCCGTTGACTTCACCAAGAGCAACGAGTGGACTGGTGAGTCATGGGTGGACCGGCGCTCACCTGCTTGCTGCTTCAGTTGAATCTTGCTCAAATGGCTTTACAAGATTTGAGATGTGTAGCGTGTGTCGCTTACTGAGTCACTTCTTTACACCCTGAAAACAATTCTGTTACCCCTCTCCTCCCAGATATTTTATCCCTCCTCGCACTCAACGTTTTTTTCCCTCACTCCACCTCTTCCCCCCTCTGGCCTGCCACCCATCTCCCTCCCTCACACCACCCACCCCTTTCCGTCCTCCCCAGGCAAGCAGAGCTTCAATGGGCGTTCACTGCATGCAATAGCGCCAGGTGCATCGAACCCATACGAGCAGGCCATCGACATCATCGGCCAGACGCTCTCCGCCTTTGACGAGGACAACCTCATTCCCTGCTACGGCTTCGGTGATGGTACGCTGCCCCCTCTTGCTCCTATCTCCGGCTCGCTCCTTCCCTCTCCCACTCTCTCCTCCTCTCTCCCACTACTTCCATCTCTCCCCTTCTCTCCCTCCGCCTTTGACGAGCACAACCTCGTTCCCTGTACGGCTTTGGCGATGGTACGCTGCGCCCCTCTCTCTCCTTCCCTCTCCCACTCTTTCCATCTCTCTCTCCTTCCCTCTCCCCTTCTTTCCATCTCTCTCTCCTTCTCTCCCTCCGCTCTCTGTCTTCGATCAGCACAACCTCATCCCCTGCTACGGCTTCGGCAATGGTATGTCTCTTCATTCTCCTTCTCCCTCCCACTCGCTTTTCCTCTCCCCTTCTCTCTCCCTCTACTGACGGCCTTCCATGAGGACAACCTCAGCCCTTGCTGCAGCATCGGTGATGCTATGCTCTGTGACTCTGCCCATTCCCTACACACACCCCCCCTTGTTGAACCTCCTTGAAAGCCTGAACCCCCACGCAGCCGCCTCTCATGCAGGGGTAGGTACCGTACGCACGTGCCCCCTTCTCTTACACGGCGAGCGAGCAGGGATGCCATCGTCACGGACGGCTGCATGAGAGGGGGCCGCATGGGCAGTGCCACTGTCTGTCACCACTCGCGCTGGCTCCTCCCTGCCTCCCCTCGCAACCACTGCACTTGCAACGGGTCGAACTAAACGCGGGGACGCAGGCCGGTGTTCTAGTGCTCTCCTTGCCCTACCTACGCCTGCCCTATTACCCCCCAACACCCGCCCCCTTCCCCGTCCCCAACACCTGCCCCCTTCCGCTTCTTCCCAACGCCCCCACAGTCTCAACGCACGACAAGGCAGTGTTTGCGTTCAACGAGGGGCAGCGCCCGTGCAACGGCTTTGAGGAGGCGCTGCAGCGCTACCGTGCCATCGCCCCCCTCGTGCAGCTCTCAGGTATGCCTGCTTGCTTGCCCGCTTAAGCTGGGTTGGGTTGGGTTGGGTTGGGTTCGTTTGGGTCAGCTACCGCACGTGCAGTGCTCAAGTATCGCTGCCTGAATTGGAACACATGTTTCCCATGATTTGGAAGGAGGCTGTGCAGGCTGTGCTGTGCTGTGCCGGTGGAACAGCCTCAGGTGGCCGCCACCCTCCCCCTCACCTGGCCCCACTCCCCCCGTCACCCTTCACTTGACTCCTCTCCTGCACCCCATCGCCTGTCCTCTCCCCCTTCCCTTCCTCTGTTTGCTTCCGCGTAGGCCCCACGTCGTTTGCCCCGGCGATAGAGGCGGCAGTGAGGGCGGTGGAGGAGAGTGGCGGGCAGTACCTCTGCACTCGCCCCCTTCCTCTTCTCCCCGGGGCACCTGGTGCACTCCTCCCACTCCCTCCTCACCTGGCCCCACTCCTCCCAACCCCCACGTACCCCCTGTGCGTCCTATCAGGCCCCACGTCGTTTGCGCCGGCAATAGAGGCGGCAGTGAGGGCGGTGGAGGAGAGTGGCGGGCAGTACCACGTGCTGCTCATCATTGCTGATGGCCAGGTGCAGTGCGGTTCTGGGCTGTGCAGTGCGGTGCTTTGTGGTGATAGCAGGTAGCAGGTAGTGAGAGTGGCGGCCAGTACCCCTTGCTGCTCATCATTTCTAACGGCCAGGTGCAGTGGGGTGCTTTGGGGTGAATTGCGGTGCTGTGGGATGCCGTGCGGTAATGTGTATATATAAGGGTGTAAAAACGATTACGGATTCGAATACGGTTATCTAAAACGAATAATTGTCGAATACCTGGCTGTATTTGTATTTGTTAAATTACCTGTCCCTCCACGAATTCGAATACGATTCGAATACACGGTGTGTCGAATACGGTTTCGAATAGCATATTGTAGCTCAAACAAGGATCTCATGATTCACGGTGGGGCTTAAATGCATACTGAAGTATCATTCACACCCTTTTACTCTAACTCATTGGCCCCTTGCTCAGTTAGCATGGCTCTGACGGCCGTTCTGTAGAGTCCTTTGTATTGTTTACTCAAGATTTCGTGAATAATAGCGGCTGGTTTGAGTGGTTCAGTAACTTAAGAACGAATCGAATATGTATTCGAATAACCGCTTATCTAAACCGAATACTCGAATACTTGAACGTCGAATAATTTCGAATAGTAAGGGGCATTTGTATTTGATTTGTATTTGATATTTGTCGAATATCGAATACTAATACGAATACAGTGGTATTTGTTTACACCCTTATGTATATATGGCAGGTGCGTATGGCAGAGTGTGATGTGAGTGCCAATGTGTGGTCTTTAGTCCCTTTTTGTCTTGGTTGCCAGTGGGTGGTGATGCGTTGTGATGGGTGGTGATGGGTTGTGATGGGTGGCGCTGGGTGGAACTGGGAGGTGTTGGATGGTGATGGGTGGTGGTGAGTGGTGACATATGGTGCTGTGCTGTGTAGCTATGGCAGGTGATTGATTCATTATTTCCCAATGGTGGTGATGGATAGTCTATGCTCACCTTGATGCGCCCTACACCCTGGATTGGCGTGAGGGGCAGACTTTCCTCCTGGGTTCACCCAAAAAGAGGTGACTCCTGGGTCGAATCGAATGCCCCAACAGCAGTGCTGCATGTGGCTGGGCTGTTTCCTGTTTCTTCACCCCCTTCTCACTTGCCTCCCCCACCACAGGTCACTCGCAGTGTTGACACGCCGCCAGGAGTGTTCAGCAGACAGGAGCAGGCCACTGTTGACGCCATCGTTGCTGCCAGGTGGGTCTCTGTTGCTGCCAGGTGGGTCTCTGTTGCTGCCAGGTGGGTCTCTGTTGAGGCCAGGTGGGTCTCTGTTGCTGCCAGGTGGGTCTCTGTTGCTGCCAGGTGGGTCTCTGTTGCTGCCAGGTGGATTTCTACTGCTGCCTTGTGTTGTATCGGTTGCTGCCAGCCTGTGCGGCTCTTGCCAATCTTTGCAGCAGGACAGAAAGATAACACTCAACTGTTGTCTCTGCAGCAGGACATATGTGTCCTACTGCTGACCTTCTGTGCGCCTTCACTCGTGCATCTCTGCCCCTTCACTTGTACATCCCCCTTGCATGCGCCCGTTTCCCCCTGGAAGCACTACCTCTGGCAGGCAGCAGCAATGCACGTGGGCAGTATTGATGTGGACTGGGCAGCAGTCATGTGGAGCGCTTATCTGGTTACAGGGAATCTGGTTATCGGCTTATCTGTTTGTCGTTTTGTCCTCCTCCAATCAGTGCTCGCCGTCACGAGCCGTGAGACATGCTCATGCGTTGTCCCTTTCACATCCCTCCTTCGCTTCCACGCCCCTGTCACAGGAACTATGCGCTGTCGATAGTGATTGTGGGGGTGGGTGACGGCCCGTGAGACATTCTAATGTTGCTCCCTCCCCCCTTACCTCCATCCTTCTGTCCCTCCGCCCTCCTCTCACAGCAACTACGCGCTATCAATAGTGATGGTGGGGGTGGGCGACGGCCCGTGGGACACGATGGAGGAGTTTGACGATGCTCTGCCGCAGCGCAACTTTGATAACTTCCAGGTGGGCTCACCTGTTATTGGCCCATGTGCTGTTATTGGCCCATGTGCTGTTATTGGCCCATGTGCTGTTATTGGCCCATGTGCTGTTATTGGTCTGAGTGCTGTGGTGCATCCACCGTGGGACATGATGGAATGTCATGCCATGGCATCTCATGACGATGCTCTGCCGGTGAGACGCCATGTGCAACTTTGATAACTTCCAGGTCAGATGGATGGGCATGGCATGGTGTCAGTGTGCTGCCACTGTGCTGTCTTTCCATCCTCACCCCCCCACCGCTTCCCTCCCCCCTTTTGCCCCACATCTCAATTCGTCAACTTCACTCAGGTAATGGCATCATCATCACAATCACCAAAATCTATGAGTCGATTCAAAAATCCATTTCCCCCCCTCCCCCTCACACACATCTTTTTCTCTCCTCCCCCACACATCTCAGTTTGTGAACTTCACGCGAGTCATGGCATCATCGTGCGCAACACAGCAGCAGGTGGCGCTCTCTCAACTCTCGTGGTGATCCCTCTCCCTCCCTCTTCCCCCCACTTACTCTCCTCCCCCCCCACATCAGTTTGTCAACTTCACGAGGGTCATGGCATCATCGCGTGCACCAGAGCAGCGGGCGGCACTCTTTGCCCTCTCTGCGCTCATGGAGGTGCCTCATCAGTACCGCGCCTGCACCGAGCTGGGGCTGCTGGGGTGAGTTCTGCTGATTGGGGCTGCTGGGGTGAGTTGAGGGCTGCTGGGGTGAGTTGAGGGCTGCTGGGGTGAGTTGAGGGCTTCTGGGGTGAGTATTTTTAGCGCTGCGTGTGGAGGTGCTGAGAGGTCATGGAGTCAACTCGCTCTTTGCCCTCTCTGCGCTCATGGAGGTGCCTCATCAGTACCGTGCCTGCACCGAGCTGGGATTGTTGGGGTGAGGTCATTGCTGCTGCATGCTGCTTGTGCACTTGGGGTGCGTTGAGTGGGCTGGTGCTGCGGCATGTTGGGAGCGTAGGAAGTTGCTTCGCTCTTTGCCCTCTCAACGCTCATGTAGGTGCCTCTGCAGTACCAGAGTTGATCAGTGTTGCATGCTCTGTCCTGACTGAATTTATACTCAGGTAAGTGATTGTGAGTCCGCATAACGACGTGCCTTTGAAGTACGGTGCCCTGGTTATAGGGTTGAGGGAAGAAGAGTCGAGTGCTCTGTTGATGTGCAGCAATTGCTGTGCTTGGAGCGCTGCTAGCTCCACAAGTACGCGAGTGAAGAGTGGACCTAAGGAGATGTTAGATTTAGGCAGGTGAATCGGCAGGCACAAAAAGGTGGTTCCAACGAGGTTTGAACTCGTGACCTTTTGCGTGTAAAGCAAACGTGATGACCACTACACCATGGAACCATGCTTGAAGCTCTTCTTTCCCTATCATAGATGTATCGATCCTCGCCTCTGCCCTACCTCATGTTGGTAACATGCATCCCACTCTCCTCTCTCCCCCCCCTTCTCCTCCCCCCCCCCCCTTTCTCCTCTCCTTCCCCTTCTCTCCCCATCACCTCCTCGCTCCCTCCCCTCCAGTCGCCCCATGGGTCGCATGCCCCCATCAGTCCCCAAGGAGCCCCCTCCACGCGTGCGAGCAGCAGATACTGCAGCGGCCCAAGCAGCCTCCCTCGCTGCTGCTTCTGCCGCTCCTGTTGGTAACCCGCCCCCCTCTCTTCATTTCCCCCCACCCCCTCTCCTCTCCTCTTCACCCCCCCATCACCCTCCAGTCGCCCCATGGGTCGCATGCCACCATCAGCCCCCAAGGAGCCCCCGCCACGTGTGCGAGCAGCAGATACTGCAGCGGCCCAAGCTGCCTCCCTCGCTGCTGCCAACCTGCCCCCGCATCTCAACCCTAATAATCTCAACCCATCCGACTTCAACCCCGGCACCGCTCCTAACCCCTTTGGAAACCTCGTGGACTCAGCTCCTACGTATGGGTACGGTGCTGGACTCAGCACTGCTGCTGCTGACTCTGCGCCGGGCTCTGGGGGATCTGGGGGGGCGGCAGCAGGAGGGGGGACGGAGTGCCCGGTGTGCCTCATGTACCCCAAGAACACTGCCTTCCAGTGCGGCCACCAGGTGAGGCCTGCACCAGGTGAGACCTGTACCAGGCTAGGCCTGCCCCAGGTGAGGGCCACGCGCTCTTGAGTTCATGGGGCCGTGCAATGTGCCTCATGTACCCCAAGAACACTGCCTTCCAGTGCGGCCACCAGGTGAGGAGTGTGCAGCAGGTGAGGAGTGTGCAGCAGGTGAGGAGTGTGCAGCAGGTGAGGAGTGTGCAGCAGGTGAGGAGTGTGCAGCAGGTGACGCCTACAGCAGGTTAGGGCCACACACTCTTGAGTTCATAGGGTTGTGCCGTGTGCCACTTGAAAACACACTGCCTTCCAGTGCGACCACGAGGTGAGGACCACACACTCTTCACTGCACCAGGTAATGCCTTCCCCAGTTGAGGCCTGTGCACGCTGCTCACGACTTAAAAAAGCCACGTGTGTTTAGCTTGCCTCGCTCGAAGCATGCTGCATGCACTCCTCCTGCGTGGTCACTAGTGAGAATCATACACCGCACAGAAAAGCATTACATTACACTCGCTGGGTGCAGCCATATGTTTTGCATGTTGTTCCTGCCTCCACCCACTTCAGGTTTTTGCAGAATTCAATATGCTGCTGTGTGATGCCTTTCATGTGTAGCGTTTACCATGCGCATCAAGCTGTACAGTTAAATAAGTGCATGCATTCTAATGTGCACACCCAGCGTTGTCTAGTAGGGCGCTTGATGAGTCATAAAACGTAGTGGGTAGGAGCGGCTTAGGGTGCAGAGAGGAATCACTGGACTGATGGCGGGTGGGCAGGTCACCAAATTGGTTCTTGTGCCCAATCATCACCTCCATCACACATGGTGAGGCCATGTGACAAGCTGATCTCTTGTTGCTAAATTACACACACGTTGGCGAGGCCAACAAATAATAACAGTTGGTCCTTTCTGATTTATCTCTACGAAGCAATTATGGTAGCATGTCAGCATGTAATGGCAATAAAACATATAATTGAAAGCCAAAGAAACTCACAGCACTTGGTCTACCAAACCTTGAAGCACTGCCATCTGTGATTTTTTTCTGGTGTAGTCCCTCTGTATTCTCCCTCATTCTCCTTCCATCAACGGGCTACTGCACACCCCTATCTTTCCCTCCCCTCCCCTTCCCTCATGCCTTCACTCTTCCTTCCTTCCATCGACTTTGCCACCCTCCTTCCAGCTCTCCTCCCTGTTTCTTTCACACCTGTGCCCGGCACTGTCCTTGCACCTCCCTATGCAACTGACCCCGCCAATCTTCTCTCCACCATGCCCCCATCGTTCCTTACTACCACTCTCATCACTACCCTCACAAACACTCTCCGTGCCAACTCTCATGCGGCCATCTCTGCTCCCATCCTTAACTCTCTTCTTCCCGCCGCTACTGCCAGGGCATGTGAGCTTGTGGGAGGGCCAGTGCGCCTTTTGGCACTCTCTGCTGCAATACGCCACCTTGCCACACCCACCGCACCTCCTTAGCTTCTCTCCGCCACCCTCCACCATCCCACATTCCACAGCACCGCACACAAGGCCTTGGGCATCTGAAGCCGCAGCAGCAGCAGCAGCACCCATGCTTATTGCAGTGGGGGTGGGAGAGGCAGCAGGACGAGAAGACATAGCAGCAGCGGGATGGGTGGAAGAAGTAGCATGGGTGGACATAGCAGCAGGAGAGGCAGGGCGGTAGCACGGCTCCCCCAGCAGCATCTCTCGCAGACACGCCACCACATTGACCCCCCCCGGCCATGCCTTCAGATAAGCCGCCTCCTCCCCCTCCTTGCCCTTCTTCTCACTGCTGCTGCTGCTACTGCTGCTGCTGCTGTGGCTGCTGCTCGCAGTGCTGCTCCCCCTAGCAGGCACTCGCTGCCCCTGCAACCGCTCACAGTACCTCGGGACGACCGCCGCTGCAAGAGCCCACGTGATGTCGAGCCCCCCTGGCGCCCTCTCGCGCTCTCTGCTGCCTCTGCACTCCTCCTCGCTCCCTCCCTCCACCCTCAGCTTCGACATCCACGTCTTCATTGCTGCAAAGTACCACATTCGCACCTCCTCCCACACCTCCCCACCTTTTGCCTGATCCATCTCACCATCCCAGCCGCCTTGCACCTTCACACTGCCACCTTTTCCCGCTTCCTCCGCCGCACCTTTCCTCCGTGCACCTGACTGCACTCCCTGCCCTTTCTCTCCCTCCCCTCCGTCGAACCCAGCAAGATTGAGAAGAGGACGAGCGCACCACACGGCCGAGTGAATGAGGAAATACAGAGGCACCTGCTCGGCTCGTCTCAGCAGCATGTGCAGGTTCAGTGGCCTGGGGAGGCTTCCAGGAAGCTCCAGGCACTCAACCAGCTCGTCAAATCCAGGAGAGGAGGGCGGGAAGACGGAGAGCACACGGGAGAACAGATGGCTTACTGGACGGTAAGCAAAGTTGGCGATGAGAGCAGCCATGCACACGGATTGCATGAACTCTAAGGAGCACGTGCCGCACTGGGTGCAGGCAGGAGGGTCCATGATATGCCCGGCAATCCCCACCAGGAAGTCCACGTCTGCCCGGCAGCGAACGATAGGAAGCTTCCTTCTGGGGGGGGGCAGCATGGCTTTCTGCTCGTCTGTTCGAGATGCTTCAGCTGTCCCACGCGCTCTGCTCAGAATGGCTTCCATACCAGTTCTTGCTGCCTTACACGCTTTCCTCCTTGCGTTCCTGCTGATCCCCCCTGCTTCAGATGCTCCACACGCTCTGCTCTCTTCAGCTTCCTGGCTAGCTCCTTGACCTACTGCCTTGCTTCCCTTCTCCTTTGCACGGCTGCTGCCCCCTCCTGCTTCAGACGTGTGTTGCGGAGGATGCTGCGTCAGCTTCTCACCTGCTTCACCACGCTCCTCCACAATCCCAAGCCCAAAACACCTCTCCTTTCGGTTCCCAGGAAACCTTACAGCAGCTTCCTCGCCCCGAGGCCACTCCTCCCACTCCAAAAACCCGCTGCTTCCCTCTACAGGCTTGGGGATGGCGCCGAACCTGACCAGCAGGCTTGGGAGGTCTCGGAATGGGTGGCGCATGGGCAGGACCTTGCTCTGAGGGTCGTCCTGGAAGCATTGTGTCTCCGAGATGGAATCTGAGCCGTAGACTCGCACCCACTGCAAGATGCAGCCAGCACGATAGGTGAATGCGGCAACCACAGGGTTGGTATTGACAGGCACAAACCCATCCACATCCACGTGCCTAGCATTTGCAGTGATGGCTATAGGCAGCTGACCTACTCCTGTGTCTGCTCCTGCTCCCCCAAGCATATTCTCCCCCCTTTTCTGCTTCATGCGACGCAGCAGCCTCTTTCGGGCCACGTGAATAGCTGCATTCTTAATCCCTATCTTGCTCGCGTTGTTCCCATCATGGAAGAACAACACTGCATTCTCCCAGTGCTCTGGTTTAGATAACACTGTGGTGACAGCAAGGGCGAAATCGGTCGCACCTACACCAGTCACGTGCATACCATTCGGAGCACTGCTGCACGTATTGGTGCCTCCAGCTCCGTTGACGTTGTTGCTGCTGCCTCTGCTTCTGCTGCTGCTGCTGCTGCTGCTGCTGCTGCTGCTGCTGCTGCTGCTACTCCTGCTGTTGCTGCTACTGCTGCCCCTTCCACTGCAATGGCTGCCCCTGAACCGCCTCACTTCCCCCGCTCCATGCTCCAGAATCCATGACATGCCATCCACATACCTCCTCCACATGGGTCCTTTTAGATTCTCCCTCCAATTCACATCCTCCCTCAACCTCCCGCACTTGCCCGAAACCCCGTTGTTCTCTACCTTGCTCCGTGCCTCTTCCCCTCCGTGTCTCCTATCTTCCTTCCTATGTGACGCATCCACCAACCTCCCCACGGGCCTTCTCTCTCCCCGTTTGCCCCCACCAATATCCTGCTCCATCCCCCCCCAACCCCCCCTCTGCTCTGCAGGCCCTTCTCCTACACCCTCACCTCTCCCCTTCCCCCTCGCAACCGTCTTCTCTGCCGCCTCTCCCCTGTCTCCTCCTCCCCCTCTCTCCCCCGGGTGCGCCTTCTCCAGCCCGCCTGATAACAGATGCTGCACGTAGAACCCAAACCCGTCCCTCAGATCAGCACCCTCCTTCACCCCGAGAACCTGCACGAGCAGGGAAGCCAACGTGTCCCGCTCCCCCTGTCTGACTGCCCCCAGCTCAGCAACAATCGCTGGCCAGGAAGATGAGTGCGAGTCCAAGTGAGCTGCCCATAGAGTCACAAAACGGGAAGACCTCGCTACAAGCACGAGGAACGTTGAGAAGCTGACAGCACGGCGGTAGGCAGCCCAGCAGCTGCTGCAGCGCCAGCAACAAGACCACGCTGCAGCACCAGATGGGGCAGCAGCAGCAGTAGCAGATGGGTCAGCAGCAGCAGCAGCATTAGCAGCAGCAGCAGCAGCAGCAGCAGAAGCAGCAGCAGATGAAGCAGCGGAAGCAGCAGCAGATGAAGCAGGAGACGGTAGATCATCACGTGCAGCTCTTGCCCCATTCAAAATACCTGGCAGGCAGGATCTGATCCTCCCCAGATCCATGAGCACGCCCACACGAGGCTCCGCCATCCACTCGAGAAGCATGGCTTCTGCACAGAGGCGAGGCGCCCTCACCGCCTTCCATGCAAACTGTTCCGCAGGCGGGAATTTACGTCCCTCTTGTAGCGCCTGCACCAATGCCCCTTTAGAGTACTCGAAATTGGCCCGGTGCAGCTGCGCGAAATCTGCAGTGGGGATGCAACGAGGCTGTTCCTTGCAGAGGTGGCGACGCAAGTCTTCCAGGTTGTTGATGCCAAGTGCTCGCTGTGCTCGCGGGCCCACCGCACGGTCAAAGCAACACTCGCACACTGCAGTTGCGCGATCCTCCCATCCACTCGTCACGTCCAAGTAGTGAACCATGTCCGCTTGAGACAGCAACAGACGCGGCTCTGGACTGACCCCTGCTCTTGCTTTTGCTGCTACCCCTCCGTTTGCCTCTTCAGGCTGACCTGCTCCACCCCAGTCAATCTGGGATGCAGAGCGGAGTACCCATTGCAGCATATCGACAGTCTTCAGCCGTTCCTCCGACTTGTCTTCTTCCTCTTCCTCTTCCGCTTGCTCTGCTGCCCCTCCTTTTGCTCCAGTGGACTCTCCCGGTCCACCGCTCTCAGTTTCGAGAGCCCGCTGCATCGCATCAAGAGTCTTCCAACACTCGTCCAACTTCTGAACGAACTGTGATAAGCCGGCATCAACCTCCTCCTCTTCCTTTTCCTTGCTACTGGCAGCGGCAGATTCACAGCACTTGAGCTCTGCTCCGCCAATGCCTGTCGGGACTCCTCTTTTTGGCTCCAGCACCTTGGCCTCCATACTGCTAGACTCAACAGGGTTCAAATTGGTGGTAAAAGAAGCATTCACAGGCATCAGGATTAGCAGGAGGAAGATATCCAGAAAGGCGAATCTGCTGGTGCAGATGCAGGAGTTGGAGCATTCACAGATTCCTCACCCTGGCTCCTTCAATTTCGATGTATTTTTCCAAAGGACGCGATTTTTATGGTTATACCTGTCTAAGGATTAGCTTGCTCAACGGTCAAGTCAGGAGAGGTTCTTCCGATTCTCAAAGTCCTGTTCCGATGCTTCCAATCCAGCACGACCTCCCTATGCTGCTGACGTGTCTCGCGTGGGAGGCAGCACTCGGGCAGGAGCGACTGATTTAGTTTGTTGAAAACCGATAAGAGAAGTTCAGATAGGAGTTACATTAAAGCCCGAGTTTCACATGGTATTTTTCAAATTCAAGTTTCTTGAAGTTGATTTCGTGAATAACCATGTTACCAGCTGGTTCAGAACAATCCGTCGGTTTCAAGCAGCAGAGGTGATCCGTGATTGGCCAGCGATAAACTGGAACAACAAGCAGGAAAAACGCCTCAGAGGAAAGCACTATTCACCTTGAGTAAACTTGAAAACCATCGGGAACGCTTGGACACGCATATTATGAGGCACGCTAGTAGTCGTTCTCCCGTCACATACGGGCAATCTTCAGTCTAAGTGCTCTGTTCAAAGACACGAATCAGGGACCTTTGGCGACTTTAGTTGCAACCGAGCCGCCGCCATTATGTTTCCTCTAACGCAACCGCCACGTTCTCTCCAAGTGTCGTTGCAGCGAGTAGTAGTCTCAGGCTTAGAAAGAAGCACACGCTCGCGCGTCGCGAAAGTATCCCCAGCCTTCCGCCTCCGCCGTCAATCTCTCGGCCAATGTAGACACCCCGACTTATTTTCCAGTCGTAGCACCTCGGTATGACAGCAACGCCACGGTGTATCGCGTTGCCTCACTCGGTCGCCCTGGCATCGCCCTTCCTCAAACATCACATTCGGCCCTATCGCCTTCTGCGTACCCTACGCACACGCCCACGCTTCCCCCCACCCTTTCCCTCACCTTCGCTCACGCTTCCCCTTTACCGTCGCTGCCTCCTGCTCCCTGGGTGCACCCACAATTCCGCTGACCATCGCGCACGCCTCCCCCCACATTCACACACGCTCATCGCCCACGCTTCACCGGACCGTCACCCCCGCTTCAGCCCACCGTCACCGACGCTTCCTCTTACCGTCGCCCACGCTTCCTCTTACCGTCGCCCACGCTTCCTCTTACCGTCCCCCACGCTTCCTCCCACCGTGGCCCACGCTTCCTCCCCGTCACCCACGCTTCCCCCCACCGTCGCCAACGCTTTTCCCCGCCGTCGCCAACGCTTTTCCCCACCGTCGCCAACTCTATTCCCCACCGTCGCCAACTTTTTTCCCCACCGTCGCCAACGCTTCTCCCCACCGTCGCCCACGCTTCCCCCCACCGTCGCCCACGTTTCCCCCCACCATCGCCCACGTTTCCCCCCACCGTCGCCCACGTTTCCCCCCACCGTCGCCCACGTTTCCCCCCACCGTCGCCCACGTTTCCCCCCACCGTCGCCCACGTTTCCCCCCACCGTCGCCCACGCTTCCCCCCACCGTCGCCCACGCTTCCCCCCACCGTCGCCCACGCTTCCCCCCACCGTCGCCCACGCTTCCCCCCACCGTCGCCCACGCTTCCCCTGCCATCGCCCTCCGTGTCGCCCGGGAATCCCCCCTCCCGCCGGCCTCCCTCCCCTCCCGCGAAAAACCCCCCCGTCCTCTCATTACCCCGGCCTCTCATCCCCCTGTCCCCTGTCCTCTCATCCCCTCGTCCTCTCATCCCCCCATCCTCTCATCCCCTCGTCCTCTCATCCCCTCGTCCTCTCATCCCCCCGTCCTCTCATCCCCCCGTCCTCTCATCCCCCCGTCCTCTCATCCCTCCGTCCTCTCATCCCCCTGTCCTCTCGTTCCCCCTGTCCTCTCATCCCTCTGTCCTCTCATCCCTCCGTCCTCTCATCCCCCTGTCCTCTCGTTCCCCCGTCCTCTCATCCCCCCATCCTCTCATCCCCCTGTTCTCTCATCCCCCCGTCCTCTCACCCCCCTGTCCCCTCATCCCCCTGTCCTCTCATCCCCCTGTCCTCTCATCCCTCTGTCCTCTCATCCCTCTGTCCTCTCATTCCCCCGTTCTCTCATCACTCTGTCCTCTCGTCCCCCTGTCCTCTCGTCCCCCTGTCCTCTCATCCCCCTGTCCTCTCATCCCCCTGTCCTCTCATCCCTCTGTCCTCTCATCCCCCCGTCCTCTCATCCCCCTGTTCCCTGTCCTCTCGTCCCCCCATCCTCTCATCCCCCCGTCCCCTGTCCTCTCGTCCGTCTGTCCTATCATCCCCCCGTCCTCTCATCCCCCTGTCCTCTCATCCCCCTGTCCTCTCGTCCCCCTGTCCTCTCATCCCCCTGTCCTCTCATCCCCCTGTCCTCTCATCCCCCTGTCTTCTCATCCCCCTGTCCTCTCATTACCCTGTCCTCTCATCCCCCCGTCCTCTCATCCCTCTGTCCTCTCGTTCCCCTGTCCTCTCGTCCCCCTGTCCTCTCATCCCCCGGTCCTCTCATCCCCCCGTCCCCTGTCCTCTCGTCCGTCTGTCCTATCATTCCCCCGTCCTCTCATCCCCCTGTCCTCTCATCCCCCTGTCCTCTCATCCACCTGTCCTCTCATCCCTCTGTCCTCTCATCCCCCTGTCCTCTCATCCCCCTGTCCTCTCATCCCCCTGTCCTCTCATCCCCCTGTCCTCTCATCCCCCTGTCCTCTCATCCCCCCGTCCTCTCATCCCCCTGTTCCCTGTCCTCTCATCCCCCCGTCCCCTGTCCTCTCGTCCGTCTGTCCTATCATCCCCCCGTCCTCTCATCCCCCTGTCCTCTCATCCCCCTGTCCTCTCATCCCCCTGTCCTCTCATCCCCCTGTCCTCTCATCCCCCTGTCCTCTCATTACCCTGTCCTCTCATCCCCCCGTCCTCTCATCCCTCTGTCCTCTCATCCCTCTGTCCTCTCATCCCCCTGTTCTCTCATCCCTCTGTCCTCTCATCCCCCTGTCCTCTCGTCCCTCTGTCCTCTCATCCCTCTGTCCTCTCATCCCTCTGTCCTCTCATCCCCCCGTTCTCTCGTCCCCCTGTCCTCTCGTCCCCCTGTCCTTTCATCCCCCTGTCCTCTCATCCCTCTGTCCTCTCATCCCCCTGTCCTCTCATCCCCCTGTCCTCTCATCCCCCTGTCCTCTCATCCCCCTGTCCTCTCATCCCCCCGTCCTCTCATCCCTCTGTCCTCTCATCCCTCTGTCCTCTCATCCCTCTGTCCCCTCACCCCCCCGTCCTCTCACCCCCCCGTTCTCTCATCCCCCCGTCCTCTCACCCCCCTGTCCCCTCATACCCCTGTCCTCTCATCCCCCTGTCCTCTCATCCCCCCGTCCTCTCATCCCCCTGTTCCCTGTCCTCTCGTCCCCCCATCCTCTCATCCCCCCGTCCCCTGTCCTCTCGTCCGCCTGTCCTATCATCCCCCGTCCTCTCATCCCCCTGTCCTCTCATCCCCCTGTCCTCTCATCCCTCTGTCCTCTCATCCCTCTGTCCTCTCATCCCCCTGTCCTCTCATCCCTCTGTCCTCTCATCCCTCTGTCCTCTCATCCCTCTGTCCTCTCATCCCTCTGTCCTCTCATCCCCCCGTTCTCTCATCCCTCTGTCCTCTCGTCCCCCTGTCCTCTCGTCCCCCTGTCCTTTCATCTCCCTGTCCTCTCATCCCTCTGTCCTCTCATCCCCCTGTCCTCTCATCCCTCTGTCCTCTCATCCCCCTGTCCTCTCATCCCCCTGTCCTCTCATCCCCCTGTCCTCTCATCCCCCTGTCCTCTCATCCCCCCGTCCTCTCATCCCCCCGTCCTCTCATCCCTCTGTCCTCTCATCCCCCCGTTCTCTCATCCCTCTGTCCTCTCGTCCCTCTGTCCTCTCGTCCCCCTGTCCTCTCATCCCTATGTCGTCTCGTCGCCCTGTCCTCTCATCCCCCCGTCCTCTCATCCCTCTGTCCTCTCATCCCCCCGTCCTCTCATCCCCCTGTCCTCTCATCCCCCTGTCCTCTCATCCACCTGTCCTCTCATCCCTCTGTCCTCTCATCCCCCTGTCCTCTCATCCCCCTGTCCTCTCATCCCCCTGTCCTCTCATCCCCCTGTCCTCTCATCCCCCTGTCCTCTCATCCCCCCGTCCCCTGTCCTCTCGTCCGTCTGTCCTATCATCCCCCCGTCCTCTCATCCCCCTGTCCTCTCATCCCCCCGTCCCCTGTCCTCTCGTCCGTCTGTCCTATCATCCCCCCGTCCTCTCATCCCCCTGTCCTCTCATCCCCCTGTCCTCTTATCCCCCTGTCCTCTCATCCCCCTGTCCTCTCATCCCCCTGTCCTCTCATTACCCTGTCCTCTCATCCCCCCGTCCTCTCATCCCTCTGTCCTCTCATCCCTCTGTCCTCTCATCCCCCTGTTCTCTCATCCCTCTGTCCTCTCATCCCCCTGTCCTCTCGTCCCTCTGTCCTCTCATCCCTCTGTCCTCTCATCCCTCTGTCCTCTCATCCCCCCGTTCTCTCGTCCCCCTGTCCTCTCGTCCCCCTGTCCTTTCATCCCCCTGTCCTCTCATCCCTCTGTCCTCTCATCCCCCTGTCCTCTCATCCCCCTGTCCTCTCATCCCCCTGTCCTCTCATCCCCCTGTCCTCTCATCCCCCCGTCCTCTCATCCCTCTGTCCTCTCATCCCTCTGTCCTCTCATCCCTCTGTCCTCGCACCCCCCCGTCCTCTCACCCCCCCGTTCTCTCATCCCCCCGTCCTCTCACCCCCCTGTCCCCTCATACCCCTGTCCTCTCATCCCCCTGTCCTCTCATCCCCCCGTCCTCTCATCCCCCTGTCCTCTCATCCCCCTGTCCTCTCATCCCTCTGTCCTCTCATCCCTCTGTCCTCTCATCCCCCTGTCCTCTCAT